AGCAGCAGCAGTAGTAGGAGGAGGAGGAGGAGGAGGGGTAGGAGTAGGAGGAGGAGGAGTTGCAGCAGCAGCAGTAGCCATGGTAATATTAATAGCAACCTCAAGTAATAGTAATCGTGATAGTAATAGTATCGGTAGCATAAGAATTATCAATATTGAAACTTCGTAATACGGAGGGTAGTAGCAATGGTAATAGAAATAGCAATAGCAATACTAGCAGCAGCCGTAGCAGCAGCCGTAGCAGCAGCGTCGTTGTAGTTGTCCTCGTCGTCTTGGTCGTCTCGTCGTCGGAGTCGGGGTGGTGCTGGTGCTGCTGCTGCTGCTGCTGCTGGTGGTGGTGGTGGTGGTGGTGGTGGTGGTGGTGCGTTGATAGTAGTGGTGGTGGTAGTTGTTTTCGCTGCGGAGTACGATGACCAGCTATCAGCACGACAGTGGTGTGCAAACTTAGGTCATTACTCTTGGACAAGCCATGGCTTATGTCCTGAGTGGGATGTACGGACCGGTACAGGCATCACTGCAGCATAGAGACCGCTTCAGCTGGTAGTCTTACTGGTTTTTAGTAGGGGATAAGGGAATATAATCCCACAAAATAACTTCCCATATTCCCTACTAAGCCCCAGGAATGGTATCTCCGGATTCGGATAAAGCTTGCTATGCTACCTGGTGCTTGGTGGGGAAAGGGGACAGGATCCTCGTAATTTGTAACGACTTAGTAGTCCCTCTATCTTCCTGAAAAGAAGTCCCTGTATTAGCTTCCCCTTTCGTTGCCAGCTTCAGAGAGTGTCTTTTTCAGTATCCTGAAGCCTTGAGCTCTCTTCAGCAGCGTTCCCACAGGAGATTGATTAGGGTTTTTCGCGTACTCAGCATGACTCATGATCGGTTTGAAGCGATACTCAGCACCCTACTCGGCCACGAAGAGGACCTCACTTTCAGTTCCGGAAGCCGTGGCGCATCATTCAAGGATCTGGGTGCGGGCAATGCTATACCTAAAGCCCTAAACCTTGAACCCTAAATCCTAAACCCTAAACCTAAGCCTCATGCAAGGATCTGGGTGCTGGCAATGCTATTCTGATCATCGTTCAGCTCTTCTGTGCCGGGGTCATCGCGCCTTGCACGCTGGGAAGTTTGAGCGGAGCTGTTTGACAAAGAAATCCCCTTCTCTTACTGGGGGTTTGTAGGGAGTATAGGATTTACAAGGATTATATTCCCTTCTTCATGCCATATTCCCTAATAACCCCCAGTAAGTATTGTATTCATGAGAATACGTTCTACTTATCATGGACCATCATCTGTGGGATTCCTTTATACAGCCCATAAGAACTATATGTTTATAGGGCCCTAAACCCTCAACTCTAAACCCTAAACCCTAAACCCCTAGACCCTAAACTCTAGGACCCTAAAAGCCTATCTGAGGTGCTGATTTTGGATGAGCTGCTTCAGAAGGGATACGGGCTGGGCTCAGGCACCCACCCCTCACGGATTCGGGTTTGGGGTGTAGGGTTCAGGATTTTGGGGTCTAGGGCTTAGTATTCAGGATTCAGCGTTTAGGATTCAGGGTTTAGGGTTTAGGGTTCAGGGTATAGGGCATAGGATTTTGGGATTAAGGCTGGGCATTCCTCTTGTTCTGTGTTCGTGCAGGCATCTCCCTTTTCATTGCGACCAACATTTGAGTCTTGGTTGCACCAACTCCTTAATGGGGGTTAACGGAAAATGGGAATATGTCATATAAAGATAATATAGGGATTATCTAGGGACTATATCGGGATTACATTCCCTTCTTCCCTACTTAGCCCCGCTAAGTCTCAGGGAAGTATAGTCACCTTGGCAGTAGCCAGAGACACGTCTGCTGACATGGAAGATCAAGAACCCTAGAACCCTAAACCCAAAACCTAAACCCTAAACCTTCTCTACCAATATGTCTTTAAACCTTAATAGGGCTGTGGAGCCATTTTGGTCGATTAGGATTTAGGACTTAGGATTTAGGATTTAGGGTTTAGGATTTAGGGTTTAGGATTTAGGATGTAGGATTTAGGATTTAGGATTTGGGATTTAGGATTTAGGATGTAGGATTCGCCGCGTGCACTTCTGGAAGCCTCTAGAGGCTCCTGGAGGCTTCTGTGGAGGGCTTTGTTAGAGCCCTTTGCTGGAGGACTCTGGAGGCTTCTGAAGGCACCTAGAGTTGGGGCCTGTTGGGCGTCATGTTCCGGTGTATAACCAAAACCACCAAATCTGATTAGAAATGTTCTTTTCCTCCTGATACTACGCTTAGCACGGGGTCTCTGGCAGGTCCAAAGACACGGTTTTGGGAGCTGTGTTCGCCATTGGAAAAGGGGTTCCGAGGGTTCCAAAAAAGTGGCCAAAAAAGTGATGCCGGCAGAAGGCGACCCGCCTTGTCCCGTGTGAAGTAGCGCTGCCTTCCGAGGTTCATACATACGGCATCATGATCTGTATGGCTATTAGCTGGTACGAGTCAATCTTGTTGGTCACGTTAGACCGAGCGGCATGTAGGAATAACAACAATCGCCATTGTCGCGCAGCTAATTGCATGGCTGGCACCAGTTCTGGCTCAAGCAAACACCCACGCACAAACACGCATGCCTGGTTGATTTTGAAATGTATATGGCACACAGACAAAGATGTAGGAATGCAGGAACGGAAAAATATGGGTTGCAAATGAGGGAATCTGGGAGGGTGGGGTAATACCAAACACGTGTAGTGATATAAGAAGCCTTGCTAGCTTCCAGCTCTAGCAAATCGTGAGCCTAAACCCTAAACCCTAAAACCCTAAACCTTAAACCCTAAACCCTAAACCTTAAACCCTGAAATCGCGATCCCTGACCCTGCTTAGGTGAGACAATCTGCTGGAAAGCCTTCAGCCCCACCACCATGAACACAGGCTGCCGCATTTCCGGCTTGCTGTTAAGTCAGTTACCATAATATTGATTTTTGGTTATGGTAACTTCTTTTGGTTTCCTTGACAGCAGCCCATATTTTCTCGTTGGAGTCTTTGTCAGCTCAGAGACTCGCGAGAGTTCAATCCCTGGACATGCTCATTTTGTTGACTTGATCACTTGTATGCCCCACAGCCTGACACTGTTCCAGTCGCAGCTCACGCAGGCAAAGGCCCTGAGTTTGAGGGGGCAGTCATTGCGCTTTTTCACCTGCTGATCTCTAGGACCGCAACGGCGCAGGCTGCAAGTGTGGTTAGGAGTTTTTCGGAGGAAGTTCTGTTGGAAGGAGCGACAAGATCACTGCGTTGAAAGAAGCTTTCTACCGGCAGACCGCTCCGAACATTACATCGCTCTTTGCCACAGCAGCCAGGTCGCAAAGCACTCCCTGCAAGGGTATTGCAGGAAGTGATACTTCCCCTAAACAGGGGGGGCGCCAATATGAACCCCCAATATACTATAATCCTTATTCAGGGGACCCCAAAAAAAACACCCCTAATTTTGGGAACCCCCAAGTGCTTTTGCTGCAGAATGCCACCCTGTACTCCGAACGCAGTCTGGCTGCACCGCCACTAAGATTCTGGTCTTCTTCTTCGTGATCTATTTTCAAGGCTGCTGTGGCTGAGTCCCCCTTGAGTTGATAGAATATGGAATTCCCCGAAGCCATAATGAGATCCCCATAGTATCATACATCCCATATTCTACCTGCTCAGGGGGGATTATGATTTGCTTCAATCGCATAGATAGTGATCAGAATAGGACATATGAATGAATACAGGGATAGTGGGAAAATAAAATGGAAACTACTGCATTATAACCTTATTGGTCCTGAGTAGGGAACAAGGAAATATGTTCTACAAAAATTTTGAAGGGTTATATTCCCATACCCTGAACCCCATATTCCTTACTTGAAAATCAGAAAAAAGTAGGGTGTACATCATCAGCACGTAGATCTCCACGTGGCCCGGTTGGCTCCTGCCAGGCTTTCGTGTGGACCTGGCCGTTAAGAACCAGAGGGTCGTGGAGCCGAGTTTAGGGTTTGGGGGTTTGGGGATTTTGCGGTTTGTGTTTAGGGTCTGGTAGGGTTTAGGGTGTCCCAGAATTATGGGTTCTTCGCATTTCTTCGCTATCGCATCTGTGGATGTCACAGCCGTCTGCCATTGTCCTCGTGGCTCCTGTAGAAACTGTAAAACCCGAATAGAGACCTAAACCTTAAAAACCCTAAGAATCCTAACCCTGAAGCTGCCAAAGGTCCGTGGTCAGATGGGCTCTTATCCGATCAAGCTGTTCTACACCTCCAACATCCCGATCATTCTGCAGGCCAGAAAAGATGCATGGTTTCGGGCTTAGGATTTAGGATTTCCCAAACAGGGAGTTTAGGGTCTAGGGATACTACCCCAAATAATAGAGAATCAAACGTAAAAGTACTTGGAACGTGGAATGGAAACTGGCATTATCCAGTAACTTAGAGGGATCAGGGTTTTGGAGGCATGTGTGGATTGATCTGCAGGTCCTTGAGAAGCAGGTATTCTTTGCCATGATGGCCATTTTGGGAACAGGAATTCGGGCGAACTAAACCCTAAACGCTAGACTGTTTCGAAGCTTGCGGGGAAGTGACTCTGTGTAAAGCACTTAGTTTTGTAGCGGTATTTTGTCAGCGGGCATATCTTGAGATTGTCTACATCTAATGTGGTTAAAGGCGGTGAAAGTGGCCATTTTGCTACTGGGATGCTTGCTGTTCTGTTGTGAACCCTAAACCGCTTGTTGTTCCGAACCTGGCCCATGTTCGTCAATGGTAGTGCAGTTACTCTTTAAGCCTGAGCCCGTCAAGTCCCAAGCCTAAATCCTGAACCCCAAGCCCTGAACCCTAAATCCTAAAGCCCTAAACCCTAAACCCTAAGTCCTCGAGCCCTAAACCCTAGACCCCTAGACTCCTAATCCTAACCCTAAACCATACATCCTAAAACCCTAAAGCCCTAGACCCTAAACCATAGATCTAAACGCTTGAATTTTGTGCCGGCTGCAGACGGCGTTGGTTTCCAACCTCTACTTCTTCTCCCAGAGCCTCAGCAGATGTTTGGGCTTCTGGGTTTAGGGTGCCCGAAAAGCCCCTGGGTTTAGGGTGAAAGGTTTAGGGTTCAGGGGTTTTTAGGGTGGAAGAGTTGCCAGTTTTAGGGTTCAGGTAGCAGGATTGAGAAGTTTCAGGGTATAGGGTTCAGGATTAAGACGTGTTAGGGTTTAGGGTTCAGTGCTTGAAGATTAGTCATAGTAGGTAAGGGAGGGTCTAGCGTGACAATCGCCAGGTCATGCCCTATCCCTAAACCTCAAACCCTAAACCCTATTGGAAACCTCTAAACCCTAAACCCTACTGTAAACCTCTAAGCCCAAAACCCCTAAACCC